ATCCAAGCTGCATTTGGGGTCTCAGAGACAGCGCTGCTCTTTTAACACCGAGATCAGTACTGGCAATTTTCCAGCAAATGCCAACAGCTCGATAACTTGGAACGGCCCTAGACGTGAATCAGCCAGACTTCTTAAAGTTCCTGTAAGACTCCCTCCCTCATTCCGGCTCATCTGCCATCCTCCTCCTCACACAAGCTGTTTCCAGAGCACGATGAAAGCCTGTCGACCACAGAGGAGCCATATCTAGGCTCTGTCAGGCAACATCCCTTATCTTCGCAGCCTTGCGGGTCTTAAGTGCGTGCTGTATCTGAGCCTCTGTCTATTTTTACCCTTGGCACGTGGGTGCATACTTTCGCCACTGCCCTTTTCTCCTTTGGCTGCCCATTACCGTTCCTTCTTCCCTGTTTTCTTTTCTAAAAAAGTAATTATTTATTTATTCTTATTTATTCTTATTTTAAATTTGCTATAAGACATATGCGCTCACCAGAGACAGACAGAAAGAGAAAGTGAGAAAGCTACCCACCAGGTCCGGAACTCAAACCACGGTCAGCTATGAGAGAGTCCAGTGCCCTAACCACCAGGCCAGCTGCTGGCCCTGGCTGTTTTCTTTTCGTCCCTTCCCTCCTCCTGCTGCCTGGGTGATCTGTGATCTGTTAGCAGTGCCCGGCAGGGCGGATTCACAGCTGTTCTGCCTAGTCTGTCTTCTGCACAGTGGAAACCAGAATGGCAGGTCTGTCTCCCTAAGGCGGCAGCTGAAGAGTCAGCCTCACCTGTAAGCTGCTGCGGCCCGGGGTGGGTCCCACAGACACACACCTCAGAAGGCCTAGAAAGATGACGGCCTGGCTTGGTGCCCTCCCTGGAGTCTTGCCAGCACTCAAGTCTGCCTGGTGTTTGCTTCTGAGAGTCCGGAGTCATTCACCATTCCCAAGGGAGCCTCAGACAGCTCCGTCTGACTTTGACCTGGCTTCACCCCTTTAATTTTATCTTAAAAAAAAAAAAAAAGTTACCATCTAGGAGGAGTTCGAGACCAAACCCGAATCTGTGGAACCTGTGCCCACGTAAGTGGTTCTCAGTCAAAATGGAAGGTGGGCCAGCAGCACAGTGGCCATGCGATGTCCTGTGAGGCCAGAGCCACCTGGGCAGGCCCTGGGTTCACGTCCTGAGCCCTCCCCGTACCTCCCAGGCACTCTGTGCTGGCTCGTGATCTGAGCCGGCTGAGGCTGGGGGGGGGACCAGGAGTGAAGGTCCTGGTGGGGGCCTCTCTGTCTCTTTTTCTCATGGAAGAAGTAAAAAGCAAAGGTGGAAGTTCAGTTGGTTTCCATTGTTCAGCTTCACGGTGGCTGACTCACGAAGAGCTTCCTGACAGCTCTCTCCCTCTGTCACCACCCTCCACACACACACACACACACACCTCACTCATGCTTCACTCCACGAACTGGGCAGGTGCCTATACCCTGAGCACCTGGGTACAAAAAACAGGAACAGAGCTACAATTGGATCTTCTTTTCAATCTTTATTTGCCACTCATATTCCTTTAATCCCACCGATTGAGGAGAACAGCTGGGCACCATATTTGGAGCAGGTCAGCTGGCAGAGGGAGGCCAACAGGTGACAATGGGCCTCAGCTCTGGAGCCGGGAACAGCAGACCCCAAACAGCCGGAGAGCCCAGCAGGGAAGGTGTCCCACCTCCCACAGTAGTTTGTCTTTAGAGCACTAAGAACAGTTGCACCCATTGTCCCTTTTTTTTTTTTTTTTTAATAATGAAAAAGAAAACCAAACCCTTCTATAATTTATATGCTATTTTGGGGGGGGCTATCTACATTATATATAAAATATAGACTCTGTTTACTTTATAACACACATCTTTTCCCCTTGATAAATAACTCTTTAAAATCTCTAGTATACATGCCTTGACTTTTTATATATAAGTTTGGTTTTTTACATATACATACATTTATATATATATATACTCATGTTTGCAAAACAATAAATAAATGCTCAACAATGACAACTAAATGAATGCAATTTTGGTTTAAAAAAAAAAAAAAAAAAAAACAAGCAAACGAAGAACTGTCAAAGCACCAGACAGCACACAGAAGCGGTAATTGCTAGAAACTTCTCCCTCCCCTGGGCAAGGCATGGGGAAGAATACTAAATACATTTGGATGCCTGAAAAAGAAAAGGAGGTGCAAAGGAACAAGTCAGGTTATGACATTTGTTTTGTGTCTTAACCTGGGGTTAGACTCTGAATCAAAATAAGTCATCGTGCTTATAAGCAAACACCAAGGGGCTCATTCAATGACTTAGCCCTTGTGGCAGCTGCGGAGGACGGGAGAGACCTGGTCCAGGAGGTTGGGAGCGAGGGAGGCAGTGGACTTGTGATGACTCCATGGCTATTTTGCAGTCCCTGCCTACACCCGCCCGGGTGAGCTTTTGAGAGCTGCGCTAAGCATCAAGCCGTTGCATATACTATGTTCTTTTTATTACTCTATTCGCTGCTGGTGTAAACAGAAAGAATGCAACCAACTCAAGGGGATTCAGTAGTGCAACACTTCGGGAGCCTGACTGACAGCCAGACTCCTCCGTGCCCCTCTCAGAGGCTCCAGCAAAGGAGGGCCATGAGACAGGGCTGGGCGTGGGATGTGGGAAGGCCATCTGCTCCTAATGAGGTGGTCACTCAACTCCAGACTCCAGTGGGACCACTGAGCCCGTCAGCTTTGGAAGAAGCCCAGGAAATCTTAGCTCCACTTTCCAGATGTCCCAGAAGCCGCAATCACAGTGGGCCATCCCCTGAAGCTCCGGGCACACCCCATCTGCCTAGGGTGGAGCAGGCAGGGAGGAACGCCCCCTGCTGGAAAGGACAGATATCACACTGTGGACACCCACAGCTTTTCTGTCATGGCCCTCCTCAGCCTCACCCAGGGGAATTGAAAGTGGGTTTCTGAGGGTTTTTTCATAAAACCAGCTCCCTAGTGTCATGGTCTCTGTCTTGTATAAACTCCAGGGTCTTGGTGGCCTAAGTGAGGAGGCAGCGAATGGAACGGAGTCCCAGGTTACTGGGCCCAGCTTGTATTTAGAAGCGGGGTGGGGGATGAGGGGTGCAGGGCAGCTGTATAAGTAGAGTGGGTCTCAGGAAACCCCAAAGCTGAAAATCTGAATGTATGCATCCCCCCTTGCCAAATAAAATGCAAAGGAGAGATCACTGTTCACATTACAGTCACGATGGAAAACCTGACACATTCTGAGTACATTCAAGAGAAAATCAGACTTACAAAAAATGGATTGACCCGCAGTCGCTGTGGGAAGTGGCTCAATGCAGGTCTGAGTTCTAATTCCAGCTTCTCCACCAACTAGCTACGGGGCCTCAGAGATGCCCTGTCACTTTGGGACTTCCTGCCCCATCGGAGAGCTCTGAAGGTGCAACCTGAGGCAGGAGGAATCTTAGAAACCAGACTTCTCCTCAGCTCTGTCACTAAAGAAATGGGTGACCTTGGCCCTCACTTGACCTCTCTAGGGTGTAAAATGAAGGGACCGAATATATGAGACTCTAAGTCCCTTCGGAGGCAACTGCATTTACTATTACAAAGCTAACCCCCACCCCCCAACACACACCCACACCCACCAACGTTTGCAAGGATCAGCTCAGAAACCCAGTTGACGATTAGAGGTCAAACTCAGTAACTATGAGACAAGACGAAGAGAACAAGTGTCCGGGTCCAGATGCACGGCTACAATCCGAGTCACAATGAACTTCGAAAGTCCTACTCCCTGAGAGAAGATGTCGTCCTATGTGACACTCAGGCCCCCAGAGCAGACCCACGGCCATAGTCATCGTCAGCCAATGTTAGGAGCGTCCCTAACTCTGAGATGTGCTGCATCACCTAAAATCAAACCCAGCACAGGAAGTCCATTTTCAAAGAAGCTGAGTGATGTTTCCATCTTGGAAGGGAAGAAACACGGGCCACTTCTATTTGCAAGCGCTATCAGGAACCTTCTGGCAGAACATCAAATGTGACAGCCCACTCCACAACAGGGTGTCTGTCTGCACAGTGGCTGGAGCTGCAGGTCATGAGGTACCCCACAGGGTGTGGGAGCAGACCCCCAAAGGGTGTGACTTGGAGCTTTTCTGCCTAGCAAGAGCAGTAGAAGAACCACCTTTCTTCTGGGGAGGCACTGTGGTTGGAGGAGAAGGAAGATTTGGGATTCGACTGACCCCACTTCTACTTAATAGTTGGGTGACTTTGGGCGGGTTACTCTTCCTCTCTGAGCCTCTGTTTTCTCACATGTAAAAAGGGAATTAAACAACAACAACAATACTATAGGGTCATTCTTATGGATTGAATAAGATAATGTACTTAAAATACTCTACACACAGTGGCCAAGTCTTGGAGTCAGCCACACCTGCCCCCAGAGAGTCTAGATCTACCTGACCCGGTGGCATTTGCTATAGGGTAGGCTAAAGTCTATCTGGGCCACCCCACAATGCAATTCTCCCACTGAAGGGAGAAGCCTTAGACAAGCTAACAGTGGGCCCAGGCTCTCTCTCTCCAGAAGACGCATACGCTCCATATTTCTCAAAGAAGCCCAAGGCATTCACACACGCTAGGGAGACCAGGTGAAGGCTCTGACCAACTCCCTCTCTAGAACTCGGAACTTGGGCCGTCCACAGAGGCCTCCAGCGGCACCCATGTAGAGATGCAAGGGGGAAACTGAACACGGAGACTTGTTAGCACTGCTTTTACACGGTCGGGTCATCGAGAAAGTCATAACGCATTTTTTTGCAAAGAAAAATATGTCATGACTTTTCTGCTGACCGAATACATCGGGCCTTTGAAACACACTAGAAGAAGCACAGAGGGGCCGGGTTACTGTTGGGCCTCAGTGCAGGGTCTGTGAGCGGATGGGACCCAGACTCCCGAGGGCACCTTTAGGGTTGCAGGGCTGGCAGAGTCCTTCTTAGGAGGTTATAGAAAATTCGAGATTTCAGCCTCACATTCCTGCTGTTTGGGTAGCATAAGGACAAATGAAGCACTCAACATGTATCTAAACCCACTGGCTGTAATTTTTACATTAAAAAAAGAAAGATCTAGGTCTTTTCTTCCTCTCGTTCCCACACCTACCTACTGCATGCATTTCAGTAGACAACGATTGCGTATACTTACTAAAATAGGTTTTCATGCTTCCTTCGAAGAATCCATAGTCTTTCTATTTACCCCAGCCTCAAAAGAGAATTTTTTTTTCCACGATGAATATTTTTCACAGAGCTCAGAAGCCTTGGGGGTGGGTAGGAGCACTCCCAAATATTATGGTGAAATACTAAAACACAGAAACATAACTCTGAATCCCTAGGAACACCCTTTCCTTAAAGTATCAAGGCCTTACTAAAACAAGATTCATAGAATCGTCTAGTTTTCCTTCTCTTCATCCTTAATCCCAGCTGTCCGGGCAAGTTGGAAAAACAGAATTCTCTCTACTCAGTTTCCACAAAAACTACTTTTCCGGAGGGCGCCTTAGGAAAATGGGAACCAGAAGAGCGTGGGATGCGGCCCTCTGCTCCAACTGGGACTGGGACACTTCCACTCCAGTCAGTCTCCAGTTCTGAACTGGAAGCTGCAAAACTGGAGCGCTGAGCACGGAGTTCATTAGCAGACTGGGGCCTGTCATGAAACCGAGAGCTTCAGCTGACTCACCATCATTCGTTACAGGAAGGCCGGGAAGTAGGTGAATCCTTCCAGGTGGGCAAGCAAGACTTGCTCCCCTGTTCTAGAAAACGAACCACAACCCTCCCCCTGGTGTTTGACGCATGCATCTTGCACCTATGGGTAGCCTGGGCTTCACGCATTGACCCTAGGGAGGAGAACAGAGGACGCAACTCATTGGACTGTGTGTTGTCAGATGCCGCTGATTCGGAGGCAGAGGGGTGGATGCTAAGCCTCTTAAATTCCCTTCTGGTTCTGCTGCCCATTATCTGCAAAGAAACCTGCAGCTCAGTTGAGCGCAGGAGACACCTGTCTGACCTCAGCAGGTCTGCACAGAAAAGCCACATCCGGCCTCCATAAAGGTCTTACGTCGGGTGAAGGATTAAGAAGAGATAAGGAAAGAGTCATTCCTGATTTTCAAAATGAACTCGAGCTGGCCTTTCTTTCAAGACCAGATCTGAACTGTTCAGAAGGATCTGAGTGACACTGGTTGACAGCAAGCACTTATAAGCCCTGGGGTGCGTGCGTGCGTGTGCGCACACACTCGGTATCTAAGGAATGCTGGCTCTTCCTTTTTGGCACTGCCTGTTGGAGCCTGCAGCTCGCCATCTCTCATGAAAGAGAAGACAGGAGACTGAGTAAAACACGATTTCCCAACATGTAACCTCTTCAGCCCTCAGTCCACCCCTCAGAGGACACTAACCCTCCATTTTAGAAACACAGAAAATTATGTTCCTTGTTGCCGTTCTGTTCTCTTTAATACCTATCGACATGTTTTTTCGGGTGTCAGAATCCTGAAAGCAGAGGCCAAAGCTGAAGAAAAGAGCCTGGGCTCTTAAGGGGAGAGGGTTTTATCTGAGTGAAACAGAAGGCTTCCCCTTTGAACCCACGCAGCTAGGCAATCACCTAAAAGCCCTTCCCGGCTGGATCGGAGGTGGGTGTTGGAGCCCCAGGTAGCTCCAGGGCTGGGCTCCCTCTGCCTCTGTCTGGGGATCCTTGCTGCCACCCCACCCGGAGGCACCCAGCTGTCCCTTAGTCAAGCCCTGGCTTGTAGCTGCCTCCTTGGCGCCACCTGGAGAGCATGTGTCGAGACCACCTCAACACCCAGGAAGGAATCCCTCTCAAGTGCAAGTCCGCCCTTCCTGGAAATAAGGTCATAAGGTAGCTCCTTGCAAGGTTTCTAATTGCTGACCAATTCAAAGGGATATTTTCTTCCCAATGTCACCCATTTTCCATGCAGCAGGTCGGGTTGTTCTTTCCTATCCGCTTAGGGAACCCTGCTTGGACTTCCTGTCCCCAATGTGCAGGACCAAACCCGGCGAAAGGCCATGGCCCCCTCAGGAAGGTGCACCCTCAGAGCTTCCTAGGAAGGGATCATCAAAAAAGTTATGTACTTAGCTACTAGATACCTTTCCTTCAGGGTCTAAGCCGAATAAAAAGTGGCTTTCTGCTATGGGAATTTTCCCACCAGCCGGGCCCATCCCCATCCCCACCTCTCCCAGACTATCAGGTTTCCATGGACGTGTGAAGACGCGCCTTCTCCTGCGGGTGGAGGGTGCCCGGGAGCCTGGCTCCCACAGAGCTTGCCATCTGACACAGCGACGTGACCTGCGGGGCCATCTGGCTGGCAGAGAAGGCCAAGGTGTGTGGGTGGATGAGGTAGGGAGGGGGACAGGCCCTCCTTGCTTGTCACAGTAAAGGGCAGCAGAGGTGGCGGACCTCCTGGCTCTCCTGCAAATCCCCAGAGGGCACCACCCTGGAGGGAGACCCTCCTGAACCCTGCCAGGCTCTGCGCTCAGCCCAGCAGTCTTCTCCGGGGCCACTCCCCTGGGCTGGCTTCACCTTCCCAGGTGCGGTCCGCGCGCCCTGCCCTTCCTTCCCCAGCATCTGCGCCCCTGGCTGGGCCCCAAGCAGAAGGCCAAAGCAGCAGGTCCCGCGTGCTAGCAGTAGAGGGACATCCGGCTCCGGCGCATGGCCTCGCTGATCAGGTAGGCGGGACTCAGCTCCGGCTCCTCCGTCATGATGGCGATATTCTGCCACTCGCCCGTCTGGCTGGACCTTTTGATGGTGTCCACCACGCACAGGGCGTACAGGCAGTCGTCGAAGGTGGCGGCCATGGTCAGGGGCCGCCCGTCCCACGTGCGCCGGTCGTCCTGGTCCTGGAAGGCCTGGCGCACCGCCTGCATCATCTTGATGGTGCCACGCAGGTAGGGCGCTGGGATGTCGCTGAAGGCCTTCTCCGGCAGCAGGGAGTTGCTCACCGGCGTGGCGTCCTGCAGCAGCAGCTCCTGCTCCGGGGCGCTGTTGCGCTGCCCGTACAGGTCAGTGCCCACCGCCAGGAGGCGCCCGGCCGAGCCCACCACCGTCACGTCTTGCTTGAACTCGCCGGGCACGTTGAAGTTGAGGGTGACGGTGCAGCACACGCCGCCCTCCAGCACCATCTGGAAGGTGCAGAAGTCGTCGCTGGTGATCTGGCGGATGCCCTTGATGTGGTCGGTCTGCTTGACGAAGGTCTTGAGCAGCCCGTGGACCTTGACGGCCTTCTGGCCGGTGAGGAAGGTGAGCAGGTCGATGATGTAGGTGCCCACCGAGTGCAGGCCGCCGCCGCCCATCAGGTCGTCGCAGCTCCAGTTGTACTTCTTGCCCAGCAGGCTGCCGCCGTGCACCTGCACCTCGCACACCAGCAGCTCACCCACGTAGCCCTCCTCGATCAGCTGCCGCATGCGCACGAAGGCCGGCAGGAAGCGCAGCACGTTGCCCAGGATGCTCATGAGCTTGGGGTAGTAGTGGGCGGCCGACATCATGCGGAAGGCGTCCAGCGGCGTGGCCGTGCGGTCACAGATGACGTTCTTGCCGATGCCTGCGGGCGGAGGGAAACAGCAGGTCAACTCACGGCCGAGAGGGGGCGGTAGAGGGCGCTGGGGCCCTGGAGAGACTGCCCGCCCTGGGGCAGCTTTGAAAATATTGTATTTATGTAAGGGACCAGCAAGTGGCGTGGTGGTTAAGGTGCTGGACGCTCCTACTTAGTTTCTTACTGTTCATGTCCTGGGCCTGGTGGTTTGCTTTCTCACTTTCCCTCTCTCTCTCTGGTCAAATTTAAATGAGTAAGCAGAATTAATTAAATAAAATATTTTATTTATATAAAATAAACCTTTTATTTATGTCAAAGTTCACCACCTTTCATTTATACAAAGATAAGACATTCTCTATATTTCAATGTTACAGTAACTATTCAAATAGAATTACTTTTATTACTGAGCCATTGGTATTCATTTCAATACCAAGGTAACCTTTCATACATTTAAGTAACCTTTATTTTTAAAATATTTAAAAATATTTGCCAAAATAGGGACCAACAGATGGTGTCGTGGTTACATTGCTGGGCTCCCATGTAGTTAACTGCGGTTTGAGTCCTGGAACTGGTGGCTTAAAACTCACACCAGGCACGTGTGCGTGTGTGCCCAAAGTCCCAAGAGGAGAATGGAGGAGAAGGGATTGTGGCATGGCCATCACTCCTGGGGTGATCATTTCTTGCTTTCTGTCTCTGTGTCTTTGTCTCTCTGACAAGTGCACACACCCTATAGCAAAAATCGCTCTTAAAAAAATTTTCCCAAAAGAATATAAAATTTTCCATTTGGATATTTGAGTACATCTACAACATTTTATATACATTTATAACATGTACATGTTACACATAGTGTACAATACATAGAAATATATTTTGCTTTGATATTGTTTAAATATAAAATATCTATGAAAGTATACTCTCTAACTTTTTACATATAATATGAAATAGTCATATATTTTGTTAAAATTATCTTCTGTATAAAATGTTTTCAATGTTTTACTTTCTATGTAAAGGGTGATTTGTATTCAAAATGTATTATTATTATTAAACACATCAGAGGAGGCTAGTATATATATTTGAACAGAACCGGAATACATAAGCTACATTCTAGTCAGAGCTGGTCTGAGCAAGTGTGTGGAAGACTTTCTTAATGACACCCTCTGAAGATCTAAGCTTTTGGCCCCTCGCCCCCACACATACCATTGCCTGTTGAATGGTAACTTGCCCGTTGAGCTTGCTTTCTGGGTGAGGACTAGAGTAGTCACAGATGTGTTTCTTTAATGCTTTTCTCCTCCCATAAAGAGTTGATATTTCCTACATCGGAGGGATGGGCAGTGCCTGGTTCCTCCCCATCCCCCATCTGCCTCCAAGTGGGGTCTGTTGCTTTGGGACAATGGCACTCAAGCCAAGCTAGAATTAATCCTATGTGATGACAGTAATGGGTGGATAAATTACAGGAAGACCCAGATTCCTAAAGGATCAAAGGAGAGGAGAGTGACAGGGAATAAGAAAGGGACTGTTCTGTAGAAGCCAAGTCAAGAAAGAAGAGACACGACTCAGCTGGACCTGGAAAAACAGCCAACTGGAACTCAAAAAAGAAAAGAAGAGGAGAGGAGAGGAGAGGAGAGGAGAGGAGAGGAGAGGAGAAGAAAGAAAGAGAGAGAGAAAGAGAGAAAGGAAGGAAGGAAAGAAGGAGGGAAGGAAAAGGAAAAGAAAAAAGAAAAGCAGGGATTTGTCAGCAAGCCAGATAAAATGTACAGACACTAGGTGAGGAGACTTGAGTCAAGATGGGTGCCTGCCTGGGGCAGGTCTCTGTGACCTGGTTGTCCTCCCACTGGGCCCCTCTCTTGGACATCTGGCACTACAGACATTGAGAGAAGCCAAGGGAAGTTGAGGGATGAGGTGACCCCCCCCCCCGTTTGGCCTGACTAGGGGTGTTCAGGTGACAAATCCACCAGCTCTTGCAACAAGCTGAGCTCACTGTGCACGTCTGTCCAGGGGGATGCCTGAACCAGGCCGGCCGTGGCATGTGACGCTCTCATGTTCCCACGGGAAGAGCTAGGAGTGGGCAGCCCAGATTGGAGAAAAGAAATGCAGATGCTGTCAACTTCCATGAGCGCCTCGTCCTGCCCTGAGTGACAGGCCGGGAACCTACAGAATGGCATCTCGTGACCTTTCCCGTTGGGCAGAACTGGGCGGGCCCTCCTGACAGCCATGAAGAGCAATCAGAAGTGCTTTTTTTCTTCCTTTTTTTTTTTTTAAAGAAGTTTTTATCTTAAGGCTTGTGTGCTCGCCAAAGGGAGAAACAGAGACAGTAAGAGGGAAGGTGAGAATTCACCCCCCCCCCCAGAAAAAATGGGAATGCCCACATATCTTTCCCTCATT